GTACAAAACCCCTGTAAGTAGCACAAATTATGGTGAGGGGCGTCATCGGCTACCTCTCGAGGTCCACGACGACGACCCCAGGATGACCCTGGTGGTGCAAACGGACATCGGAAATGGACTCGGCACACTCGGAAACCCGACAGTACAAGTTTTGGTGAGTGCCGTCATCGGCGACCTCTCGAGGTCTCCGACGACGACCCCAGGATGACCCTGGAGGTGCAAACGGACACCGGAAATGGACTCGGCACACTCGGAAACCCGATTGTACAAATTTTGGTGAGGGGCGTCATCGGCGACCTCTCGAGGTCCCCGACGACGACCCCAGGATGACCCTGGTGATGCAAACGGACACCGGAAATGGACTCTGCATACTCGAAAACCCCCGTGCACGAGTTCATGTGAGAATCCCTCGCCTCTTATCGAGACATGGTCTTGATCGATCTGGATCGACCCAAAATCAGCAAATTTCATATTTTGACGGTATATTGACTTTGCGGTGCGATATCTCCTAAACGGATTGACCGATCAACCCCGTTCTGAGGTCTCCAGATAGATCAATCTTTCCTCTACATTTCTGTGTATAGAAAAGTAAATTCCTATGAAAATTACGGCCACCATCGAAAATAACCAAAACGGCTAAATTTTACTCACGATTTTTTTAGAATTGCAATATCTTACGAGCTGTTTGTCCTAAAAATCTTTCGATTTTTTGTGTGATAGGTCTTGTCGAGATCTTCCATTCGGCGTTGAGTAAATTGAATTCGGACAAAAACTGCGGCCGTTATCGAAAAAGTCCATTTTGGCTGTTTTTCTATCAAAAAATTGACTTTGAGGCCCGATTGCTCCTGAACAAAACGTCTTATCGGCCTCCGCGAAAAACCATCTTGTAGGTCTCTTACTTACCTTAAAATCTGTGTCACGCAAACTGTAATCGGATCAAAATTACGGTTTTTGTGAAGGAAAAACTAATTTTAGGCAAAAGTCCCAAATTTGTCCAAATGCAGCTCTTCAAACCTCTGCCAAATCCAGAGTTTTCGACCCACAGCCCCGGGACAAAGCTTTTTAAGGTTGTTAGAACAAAAGGCAAAAAATATTTTTTTTCGACAAAAATCCGAATTTTTGAAATTCCCGGGTGCGCGGTCTTAGTTGGAACGCCCCAACACATTCGGAGAACTATGGGTGCAACAACCCCCGGTCTGGGAAACAGTCACCGCAAACCCTATTGCAGCCTCATGGAAACCTAAACTAAACGTGCTGGGTTTTACATTTACAAGCACCGCTGCTTTTAAACGGCTGCATAGAAAACCTCAAGCACACACGCACACCATTAGCAGTCAATTTTACCACACCCTAAATTTTCCTCCGATAGTTTCCCAATGGGTTGAATGAACTTTGCCGAGAGAGTGCTTCAGGTGTGAGAGACAAGGTCAGTTGTAATAGGCAGCAGCGGCAGCGGCAGCAGCAGCAGCAGCGGCAGCAGCAGCAGCAGTTCTCTGGAAGTTCCTGCAGCCTCTCTGGTCCAGGCGCTAGGAATGTTTCGCCTTGGCGCCTGGCCCACAAGGAAAAGGAGAGGCGAGAGGCACACATGTGGCAGAGCCAACAAGTGTTTAAGAGAGAGTCACACATCTACACGAGCAGGATGATGTTCGTCAACCAAACTACGAGTGTGAGCCCGAAACACTCTTGGACGTGCGTATGGACATTCAACTCAAGGAACCGATTGCATGAACACTTTTCTCTTTCTCCAAATGTCAGACAAACTTTTCTTACGTGCACCCGTCACGTCACGACCATGATTGTCAAACACTTTTGCGCTAATTCTGACAACTTTTTAAACCTTTACCTGTCCTTGTCCAGCCCAGGAGGGACGTCCGCTGCTCACGTAACCGTCGTAGAGGCTCGAGTACATTGAGGCATCCACTACACACACGCAAACAGCTCACAGGAAGGCGAAGGCGAACGCGCGCGCGCGCACACACACAAACACACACTGACACACAGGCTCGCCCGCAACTGTTTGACAACTCCGACAGGAAACGCAAAAGTACCCTGGTTCAGTTCGTCCGTAGATAACGCACAGCAACGCAGCCCCGTTTCCGAAAGCACTCGAAACCAAAACAAACGAGAGCGACGCGTGTTTATCAGCTCGGGGACCCGTGGCAGGGGCGTCCGCGTGCGGCCTGCACCTCCCCGCTGAGAGGGAGTTGGCGAGCGCAGATGCACCGACGGTTACGTCACCACCCAAAACAATCCCGACACGACGCTCGCGTCGCGTCCTTGCGCGGCGGGTACGTCGGATACTTCGCGTACGTCGGGAACGTCGTCCTTCGGGAGGTACACGTCGAGTTCGGCGCGAGTTCGACGGGGACGTCGGGAACGTCCGCTACCGCGAGGCGCACGGCTGCACCTATGTAGAAGACAGGCTCGCTGCGCTGGGCGGTGGCGCCAAGCAGGCACTGGTGTTGTGTACAGAGCGCGCGCGGCCGGCCGCAAGACTGAGGAGGGAGAGCCTGAGAGAGGCGAGCGGCGTCAGCGCGCGCCAACCGGCCTGCCTGCGCCAGACGGCCGCGCCCGCCGAGCCGCTCCCCACCACCGCCGCTCAAAAGCCTTTCCCTAGCCGCTGGAGTGCAGCAGCACTCGGCAGGGACCCTTGTCCTCCCAATAAACACCTTTATCGTCCTAGACCTACTCCTCGTCGTACCAGACCGCTTCCTCCTCGTCAACGTCATCCTTTTCGATGTCCTTTTCGTCCACATTCTCCTCGCACTAGACCTCCTCGTCGACGTCTTCGCCCCCGTTGTCCCTCTCACCATCTTGCCCCCCCCCCCCCCAAAAAAAAGAAGTGTGCCTGCATGTACACTACTTTCCTTACTGGGACATAATTGTCCCACCCCATTTAGAGTGAACTTGTTTTGGTGCTATTTTGGCCCACCGAAGCCGCGAGGCCATGGCGGCGTCGATTTGGACGCCCACGCGACCGTGAGAGAAAACACTGAGTCACCAGACGGCGGGGCGGGGCGACCTTCGCGGGACCTCCACGCTTCCATGATCACTCTAGTCTAGTAGTAGGCGCTCCGCCGCCGGCGCAGCGGTGTAACGTACACCAAAAGAGAAAACTAGAAGACTCGATGTACTGTTTACACAAAACAAAAACAAACAATCAAAAAGAGGGGGAGAACGAGTTTTGGGTCATGTGAGGCCAACGCCGACCACACCAACCACTAGTGACACAAAGGTGGCCACACAAAAATATACGTAAGCATTTAGGGTAATTCTGGATTAAGACGTCAAGTCCTAGCATTTCTAGTGTTGCGACCGACGCACACCACATGCGGAAGTGGCCGATTCATGTAGACAAAACATTGCTCAAATTAATAATTATATAACAACATATTATGTAACAACACATTACAACGTTAACAGTTCAAAGTCACTTGCAAACATTATTGTATCATCAAGAGCGATTTAAGTCATCAGATCCGTCTTGAAACAAGTCTCTCCGTCAG